GGAGTCAGTATAATGTGTCTGAGTGGGGTATTCATGCTTCATTGCGGCATGGTATCTCAGTGGCCTAGCACTATAAAACCAGCTTCAGTCTGGGCTAGTACAAGCAGCTGCACATACACATACACACGCATGCACGTCGTCATATGAGCGAAATATTCTCAAGTACGAGGTTAAACCCAATTTCACCTCACCCGGTAATTATGTATCCCAGTCGAAATGTAGCAGTGGACTTGGGACCGAGCTCAGAGTTGCCAGTCGTATTTCCTGTGATAAAATACGCCACTTTGTCGTTTCCTTCCTGTAGTGAATAGTGTAGCGATCAGATCTTCCTTAATTAGAAACACGGAATGTCGGATACTTTAATTACACCGACCTTTAACCTGTGACGTCAAGATCGGCACATTCCGTCATTAGTGGAATATTGATGTAAATTCCGAGATAGAATGTCAGCAGACAATTATATCACGCTGTGGACGTCTGCCTGTGGATTGTGTTCATACTTCGTCTGTCTCTGCCAACATGGCCTGTATTATACATAACTTCATCTACTCATATTACATCGTAGATGAAGTATTTCCCACAGATATACATGTTACCAGCTCCTGTCTGATATCGCATAGGCATAGACCCCAGGATTATTTCGTTGTTGTTGGTTGTTGACGTAAAAGTACCAAAATTCTTCAGGAGTGAGTGAGTTTAGTTTTCCGCCGCTTTTAGCAATATTCCAGCAATATCATGGCGGGGGACATCAGAAATGGACTCCACGCATTGTACCCCATGTGGGGAATCGAACCCGGGTCTTCCGCGTAACCAGCGAATGCTTTAACTACTAATCTACACCATCTCCCCTTTAAATATATATGCATGACTTTGGTTGATGTTTGATTTTCAGATCATCATTTCCGTGTCGCCTATCCTCCTCCTTGGCCCACTCCTCAAAGGCACCGCAGTTGTCTGTAGAGTTGCCTCCCTTGGGCGTCAGGAACGTAGTGCAGTGATCTCAGGTTGGAATGACACATTTGCCATGATTCTGATTCTTCACGTGTCAGCATCATACTCGTGCTTGTGGAAGCTGAAACACTGTCCCAAGTCACGCACTGATCGATGACTGAATGAGCGAGTGTAACTGAGAGGAAATTCTCAAACCGGAAATGGGCTTCACACATTGTACCCATGTGGGCAATCGAACCCGGGTCTTCGGCGTGACGAGCCAACGCTTTAACCACTAGGCTACCCCACCGGCCCAGGTTGGATCCGAACATTTCCGCTTAATTTACACGCTTTCAATATGGTTGACATCCAAGATTCCGAAGCCACTCTCGAGTTTCATAACGATGCAACAATGTTCAGGCTTGTGAAAGTGTGTCTCTGATCTTATACCATCTGTTTTACGCTGCATTGAGAGAGTGGTCACATATAGCCGCTTTGCACTACAACCATCCCCAAACTATATAGTTCTCATTAGCTATAAGAAGATTGGGATTCGAACTCACAATCAAATCTTAGAGGCGTGCCAACTGAACTAAACGCAAATGCATCTGGAGTGAAAGTAGTTCTAGGGAGACCCCTGAACGTATTTAAAAAGAAATCATGAGATATATTGGAAAGGACACCATGAAATTTATTTAAAGGGAGACTATCAAACGCATTTAAAGAGATTATCGAACATATTTAAGCAAAAACATCGAAAGCCATGCTCGGGCCTATCGAAGAGTGTCAATCAAGGTCTAGATGGTCGACATAGTGCCCTGTACAACACGGTGAAAGAGTTACCTGCATGTGCTTAGGATTAACAGGTAGAGGGATACACAATCTGCGGCTACCCTGTTTTTATAATGTCATGAAGATCCAGGCTAGATTAAAATCTCGACCACCACGCCTTTCATAAAATAAGTTATTAGAATGAATCACATTAATAGGTGAGGTGAGGTGAAATTGGGTTTTACGTCGTGCTTGAGAATATTTCGCTCATTTGACGACGTGCATGCATGTGTATGTGTATGTGCGGATGCTTGTACTAGCCCAGACTTAAGCTGGTTTTATAGTGCTAGACCACTGAGATACCATGCCGCAGTGAAGCATGAATACCCCACTCAGACACATTATACTGACTCCGAGCTGACCAGTCCTTGTTGTACCCATTAATGTCGAGCGCCATATTTTAACGTCTTTTTGGTATGACGCGGTCGAGGATCGAACCCGCGACCTTCCGCTCTCCGGGCGGACGCTCTAACCACTACACCACGGAGGCGGACTCACATGAATAGAGAGATTCCGGCTAAGAACATATCCCAAGAAATATCCGCATGTCCAGATACGATAATTTGACTTAGGCACGTCATTGTATCACATTGCATGGATTGATGCTAATGATGTGGACCACTTGACAGTCAAGTGTAGATTTGATCTGCACATCGCCAGATTGCTGACAATCTCTATAAACAACAGTACTGTTTGTTGGGGCTGCCATCTTGTCATTGACTAAACCCTTTAAATGGCCTTATTAGACAATGCTGGCTTCTTCATTTTTTCACCAAGTAAGCATCACAGAAATTGAATTAATGAAAGAAACAAGTTCATTGATCACAAACCAAAGTTGCCTCCCTTTAAACGTTCGCAATAGATTTTATGAACGCTTCCGTCAGTCTTTTGGAGAGGTTGATGGCCACTGTTTAAGTGCCATTTAATATTTCATTTGATACGTTGCATAGGCGGATCCAGAGGGGGGTGCAGGGGTGCGCACCCTCCCTTTTGTCCTGAAATTTTATTAAATGACCATTGAAACTCTCGTGAAAAAGAAGTGTGCACCCCACCTTTCTTAATGGTGTGCACCCCTCCTTTCTCAAAAAGCTGTATCCGCCCCTGCGGTGATAGAAATGTGTGATAAATCATCGGTAATTATTCCAGCTATATCCAAGCGGCCCACAATGAGTTTGGATCATCAAAGTTTGCACCCCGCAATCCCAATGCCTCCACATGTGAAACAAACATTCGTGACCTACTCGTGTTATTCCGGGACAAGCCGAATAGCGACTTGTGCCCCTCTCGAAGGATTTCATATTGGCGCATGAACATCAGAACTTCTTTAAACAAGAACGATAACTCTATGCCTGTTTGATACCAATGTTTCTTAACTTCGCGGAAATACATGTACATTGCTAGGTTGTTGTTCTGGGGTTTTTTTCTTATCTATTTTAAAGAATTAAACCTCTTTGATACAACTAAAAGAAGGAGAAAATCATATTTGTTAAGACATATTCTTATGTAATTATTACCAGCTGTTCACTTTATATTTCCAATTATGCTAATTTTCTAAATATGGTTTAATAATCACAAATGGGAATTGTTTTATTGAATATACAAATAAAATTATATTTTTTCAGCTACATTAAATCCCAAAGCAGATACTCAAAAATGACTTTAAAATATTTCTCAAACTGAACATTCGTGTAACCAGAGACCATATAATAGATATTATATGGTCTCTGGTGTAACCTTGCTGTCACACCCCAGGTGGAATTTCAAATGAATTCGCTGAAAACAATATGAATGACCAAAAAACAGTCAGACTAAATATCCCCAGAGCTATAAAATATAAGTCCAATGTTAAAGATTAAGGTTGATTAGTTACATACAAATACGATATTGTTGTTTTGAAACTTGTAGCGATTATAATTGCATTTCCTAAATTGGTCGAAGCGCACGTACAATCTCCATAACAAGCCCGCAAGCTCGTCAGAAATACTCAGTTGGACCCATGAGAGCTGTTATGTCAACAAGCGCACGTGCGTGTATATGAATCTCTCACCGTCAATCGCATGATTCTTATTAAAAACTTCATAATAGCCAGCAAAATCCTTTTAGCTATGTTCTTTTTACTTTCAAAATGACGATATATATTTTTCATGATTCTTTAAACAATGCCATAAACGATTTAAGTACTCGGATTACTTTTATCAAAGCACCGCGCTCATTTACGCGCGTTCTGATTGGTTTGTCGTATTTTCGCACATAACAAGTATCGAGTGGGGGACGAGTCTTCTTGGCGGTTACGGAAAGGGGCGAGTGGTGACGAATGGTGAAACAAAGTGAAATAGGGTTTGACATCTTTAGGATCATTGCACTCATTGTGACTTGCATGCAAAGTTTGATACAGTCTCCAGACAAACCTCACTCAACCCCCCACCCCAGAATTACATGATAAGTCCCTAAAACTGAGTGAGTGAGTGAGCAATAATCCAGCTATATGGCGGGGGTCTGTAAATAATCGAGTCTGGACCAGACAATCCAGTGATCAACAGCATGAACATCAATCTGCGCAATTGGGAACCGATGACATGTATCAACCAAGTCAGCGAGCCGGACCACCCGATCCCGTTAGTCGCCTCTTACGACAAGATCAATTCTAACCCGGATCTTCATGTGTACCTTAAAACTGAAATACTGTACAAAGAATAACTAAAGCAAACACACAGTCTATGTAAGTCTATGTAGGTCGATGTGACATATACTATATCTGGCATAACTTTCTCAGTTAAGTACAGATTCTAGTACATTGGGGGTCGAGTCCCACCTGGATTCGAACCCACACTCTCAGAGTCTTGCACCTTATCACTGAACACACAGTCAACAATTCAACTTGCTCAGCCACAACATCTATGGAAGCTACTAATACACATTGCCTTTTCAAAGTGGTCATACATGGGTGAGGGACAGACAAAGAGCTTTCTTCTTGATGATCAGTTGTCAGACTTCCATTTTTGAGGTGCAAGGATGAGCAAGCTCGGCAATACTATGCACAGTCCTGCTCTACACTGTCAACAAAAAATCCTATGAACACACACTGCCTTTGAAAAGTGGTCATAAACGTGGGAGAGACAGACAAAGGGCTTTATCTAGATGATCAGTTGTCACACTTCCATTCTTGAGGAGCAAGCTCGGCAATACTATGCACAGGCCTGCTCTGAGCTGGCGTCAAGAGTCAACACGAAACAACTACCAAAGAATACAATCCATTTTTATTTCCAAGATGACACTTCAAGGCATCATAATGAGGCTGAAATTATGCTGAAGTTTACAATTTCCACGTGAAACACTTGGCCTATCACCTACTAACTACACATACAATAGGGTTAGCACATTGACATGTAGTAGTAAAAAACAGATGTTAGCAGCTAGCACTATAAACAAATAGAAATAAAAGTTCAGAAAGCAATACACTATGTTACTCTTGATTAAATTTCATAGACCGTAAAAAGCTATATATAAAATAAATCTGTCAACATTTCCCTGGATATTCCAAATATCCTCACAATATGCAGTAGTAGAATCCTGTTCTCTGTACGAATCTAAAACATGTTTCAGTAATGTCATGCAAACTCACGTTAACACAGTTGATCAACAAGCACTGGAGCTCTGACGAACACTTCTTCAACAAGGATCTCACAAAACAACAAACTGTCTGCCATTCGTGTGTTCACACAATGTAATGACATTACATACCTTCCACAACAATACGCCCATTGGAATACTCAAAATCATCCATAATCATTTGAAAAAATATACAAACAACTGTTCATAACAGAAATAATAATAAAACATTTTATCACCTCAATGATTTCCTACATGCAATAATGGAGGCGTTTCCTAAATGCAGTGTGTAACAGAGGCCAGTTTCCTTTTAAGGAAAACAATGGATATATTCCTGTTTTTCCAGAGGAGGTTGGTACGTTCACTGAGACATGATCTGGTTGACAGTTTTGACGATACTGTTGGAACCGATTCCATACTTGTCAATCAGTTCTGCGGGTTTACCGCTGCGTGGGACTTCCTGGACTGCTAGTCGCTTCACGATTATGTCCCTTTCCAAGCTCACGGCAGATTGTACAGCCTCCCCTATTCCTCCTGAAGACACAATCCAAAATACATCTTAGTCAATCTTACCTGGATTTGGAAAACATGAATTTGATTTGTATATCAGAGGTTTCAAACCACAATAACAACATCTGGCTGAATCAGTTTTTCTTGACAGCCACATCACTCCAAAAGGTAAGTTTCACAGAAACATATTTCTTCTTAACCAGCCGATCTGTATTTTGAGTGAGTGAGTGAGTTTAGTTTTGAGTGCGAGTGAGTGAGTTTAGTTTTACGCCGCACTCGGCAATATTCCACCTGTATGAAGGTGGATCTCCCTGCATTTTGAAATAGTCTGCATTTTGAAATAATATATATATATATGTGAACAAATAGAGTTGAAACAATGAGTTGAAATAGCAATATTCAAAATATGTCTCAATACATTTTTAACACACACACACACAAAATTCAAATAATAAACAGTGTTGAAAATCTGTGCTGTTTCATATCTGACTATGATACCAGGGCCTCTTTTCACAAAGCACTAAGGTGATTGTAAGTCACTACGGTAGCCTTAGTGCAATGTTAAAGAATGGGAGTTGAGGTTAACCTTAGTAAAGGTTGCTTCGTGAAAGGAGCCCCATATTGTATGCAAAGATAAACAGTGTGATGAGCAGTGTTGAAATAAATCTTGCAAAAGCTTGCTTCATATAGGGGAGCAAAGTTTGTCTTGTCTGTGTATTGCCACTCTATCACAGCGGTCTGTACAAAGTCTGGACCAGACAATCCAGTGATTGACATCAAGAGCATCAATCAATGATTAAATGCTATTATCAGTGTTATTTTTAGGCAGAACAACTATCTGAAAGTGATGGACTTAATGTCTACGTTAATGCCAAAGAGTCTGAAGAATGGAAGTAACGATTCAGCATTTTCAACACACAGCCTTTGGATATGTTAGTGGAAAATGGTGGTTGAGGTGATGCTGTGGTAATGAGGTGATGTGGTGTTGAGGTGATGCTGTGGTGGTTTGAGTAATGATGTGTTGTTGCTGTTGCAATGATGTAATGATGTGGTGTGTTATTGCAAGATGTGCTGATGATATGGTGATGGTGGTGTTGTGCCGATGTGGTGGTGTTGTTGTGCTGATGTGGTGGTGTTGTGCGATGATGGTGTAGTGGTGTTGTCCGATGTGGTGGTGGTATTGTGCCGATATTGTGCCGATGGTGTTGTGATGATGTGGTGGTGTTGTTGTCCCGATGTGGTGGTGGTATTGTGCCGATGTGGTGGTGGTATTGTGCCGATATAATGGTGTTGTGATGATGTGGTGGTGTTGTTGTCCCGATGTGGTGGTGGTATTGTGCCGATATAATGATGTGGTGGTAGTGTTGTGCTGATGTGGTGGTGGTGGTGTTGTGCCGATGTGGTGGTGGTATTGTGCCAATGTGGTGGTGGTATTGTGCCGATATAATGGTGTTGTGATGATGTGGTGTTGTTGTTGTCCCGATGTGGTAGTGGTATTGTGCCGATGTGGTGGTGTTGTTGTCCCGATGTGGTGGTGTTGTTGTCCCGATGTGGTGGTGGTATTGTGCCGATGAGGTGGTGGTATTGTGCCGATGTGGTGGTGGTGGTGGTAGTGTTGTGCTGATGTGGTGGTGTTGTTGTTGTTGTGCCGATGTGGTGGTGTTGTTGTTGTTGTGCCGATGTGATGGTGTTGTGACAATGTGTTGAGATGATGTGGTCCTGTTGTTGTGATAATGTGGTGGTGGTGTTGTTGTGATGATGTAGTGGTGTTGTTGTGCCGATGTGATGGTGGTGTTGTGCCAATGTGGTGGTGTTGTTGGGATGATGTAGTGGTTGTGTGATGATGTGGTGGTGTTGTTGTGATGGTGTTGTGATGATGTAGTGGTGTTGTTGTGATGATGTGGTGGTGGTGGTGTTGTGATGATGTAGTGGTGTTGTTGTGATGATGTAGTGGTGGTGTTGTGATGATGTAGTGGTGTGTTGTGATGATGTGTGTTGTTGATGATATGGTGTTGTGATGATGTGGTGTTTGTTGTGATGATGTATGATGTGGTGTTGTTGTGATGATGTGTGGTGGTGGTGTTGTGATGATATAGTGGTGTTGTTGTGATGATGTAGTGGTGTTGTTGTGATGATGTAGTGATGATGTAGTGGTGTTGTTGTGATGATGTAGTGGTGTTGTTGTGCCGATGTGATGGTGTTGTTGTGATGATGTAGTGGTGTTGTGCCGATGTGGTATTGTTGTGATGATGTGGTGGTGGTGTTGTGCCGATGTGGTGTTGTTGTGATGATGTAGTGGTGTTGTTGTGACGATGTGGTGTTGTTGTTGTAATGTGGTGGTGTTGTTGTGACGATGTGGTGGTGGTGTTGTGACAATGTGGTGTTGTGATGATGTGGTGTTGTTGTTGCGCCGATGTGATGGTGTTGTGATGATGTGGTGGTGGTGTTGTGATGATGTGGTGGTGGTGTTGTGACGATGTGTTCAGATGATGTGTAGTTGTTATGACAATGTGGTGGTGCAGGTGATGTGGCAGTGGAATATTGTGGTTGTGCTGTGGTGATAATGAAATGATGTGGTGGAAATGTAGTAATGTTGTGGTGATATGATGTTGTTGCGAGGTTGTGGGATGAAGGTGATGTAGCAGTGGTATTGGTGTGAACCTGTACCTTCAGAGTAGTGGTCCTCCACTGTGATGATGCGGCCGCCAGTCTTCCTAGCGCAGCTGATGATGGTGGCGGAGTCGATGGGTTTGATAGTGAAGGGGTCGATGACAGTAACGTTGACACCGCTGGCTGCAAGAGTGTCCGCTGCCTTGATGGCCTCCACAAGAGTAATGCACGATGCCACAATCGTCACAGCATCATTGTTGCCTTGGCGCACAATCTGAAATAGAATCATTGCCACATCTTATCACTATTGTTGTTTCCCATGTACTTAATGGAACATATCCTGTGGGCAAGTTAATTGTTATCATGAAGAGTACTATAACATCTTCTTTTGATTCTGCTGTTTGCCTAGCTGAAATGAATATGGAGAATTTCCTCGAAAAAAGCATTAAACACTGAGTGTTACACCTTGACTTAAGTTCATAATATGAAACAATGAGGTAGGCATGACAACATTAATGAAAGCGCCTTGTTTATTTAAAGAGTTGTCTCCCATGTGCCACTCAAGATGCTTTATGGAATGTAATCACAATCCAGGTTTGAGTGAGAAAGTGAGTTTAGTTTTACAATGCCCTCAGCAATATTCCAGCTGTATGGCGGCAGTCTGTAAACAAACGAGTCTGGACCAGACAATCCAGTGATCAACATCATGAGCATCGATCTACGCAATTGGGATACGATGACAAGTGTCAACCAAGTCAGCGATCCCGTTATGACAAGCATTGGTTACTGAAGATCAATTCCAACCTGGATCTTCGTGAGTCCAAAACCAGGTTTGAAGACCATCGAGAAGAGGTAAATGAGTGATCTTAACCCATTAGGTACAGGGGCATGAGCCTGGTCCCACGCCACCATTATCAACATTCCGGCGCTATAATGACAGGCGACTGTCAGAATATGCTGAACACAATGTACCAATTGGAACTAAAACCTTCGCCTTCATGTGCCAAGAAAACATTTTAACAACCAGGCTCATAGAGAGTGGAAGCCTGTCAACAACTTACACTGTAAAAGATAATGCAACATATTCATCTTGAAGCCATTTTGAAGATCGATAAGCCCGCTACCGACTATGCAACATGTAAACAACATGGCGTCTGCCTCTCGACTGGATTTTTAACATCAGTGAAACATATTCTGACAAGTTTGAAACTGCTATAAAAACGATGAATCATATCTTAAGTTGAGTGTGCAAATGATTCAATGTATAAAATAGTTTAAATAAAGCAGTGAAAGTCTGTAAAATAAATGGGTACATAGTGAACTAAAAAACAGATAATCGAATGGTTTTCGAACTCCGTGCTCTGCATGCGTCACATTATGATGTCATACGATTGTTAGTGATACAGCTTCTCGGTGGAGAGTTTGGCGGTTACCGTAGCAGCAGGTAATATTTTTCAGTTTTTACCCTCCTGGGAGGGGTGACACGGAAACTTGTTAAAGCGTCACTCACCAATGAAATTGAAGTATTTTACATGAAGGTAAGATAATAGAGAGTGTTTATGAAATGAAAAAAGATTAACTAATCAATAATTTTAGTATGTGTGGAATAATAGAAAGAGTTTCTTTCTTAACATTAACCAGGCTTTCACCCCTTAACGTATTCTCCATTTATATCCAAAAATGGTTTTCTTCGATAAAATCCCCTAAGATATGATGTCTACATTTCACATTAACTGCATTTGTTGCTATTTGCATTATTCCATTCTATAAAGTAGCTTGCAGTGCCCATTATTTCGTCGCTAAAAAATATCAAAATATTTGTCAAAATTCACCTTAGCTTTCCCTATTTGGAACTCCTCATTGGCTCCATAGAGGATGGGAGTGTTTGGGCGCGAGACACGGATGAAACAGATCCCCTTGGTATTGGCAGCTAGTTCCACAGCCCGCTCAGCAGAAACGGCATCACTGGGGTAAAACACAGTTGACCCTGGAATGGAGCGGAACATCGCCAGGTCCTCTAGCGCGCCATCTGGGAAGGACCGTCCTCACCTGTAGCACATAAATGGGTCATTAAGTCATGTGATGGTCTTGATTGACCAATGAAACGACATCATAAACACTGCCATGTCTGTTAACCCTCAAGCATGGCTGGGGCTGACAAACCCCAAAACAATCAGTGTGAATCAAGACTCAAACCCACGGCAATTACTATTCCACTTTAGACAGTCATATTTGTATTTTTCATAATACACAGAGCAAGTTAGTGAATTTGGTTTTATGCCACTTTGAGCAATATTCCAGCAATATCACGTCGGGGCACACCAGAAATGGGCTTCACACAACCGTACCCATGTGGGGAATCAAACCCGGGTTTTCGGCGCTACAAGCGAATGCTTTAACCACTAGACTTCCCCTCCACCCCATGATTATCCCTGTCAATGTTGAGTAGTATAGTTTACAAACTTGTCTTTAAAACATGGCTCTACAATACAAATTGTAGTGTCTCACAACTTGGATATCCATGCCTTCAGGATGCAGACAGACACTCAAGCATCGGTCTGCCTGTCGTGCAATGACATCATCCTTACCGATGGACACTCCAGCATGGGACCCCACAAAGTTGGCATTGGTCTGAGAGATGGCGCCAATTCTGATCTGGTCAAAGGCCCGGGTGAAGAAGGCAGAGAAGGTGCTCATGAACACAATGGTGCGATCACGAGTGGCACAGCCAATTCCGACACCAATCATGTTTTGCTCAGCTATGAAACATTCAATGAAGCGTTCTGGGAAAACAGCCTGCAAAAAACAAAAAACAACAACATGGAAATCATTATAGCTGCTTGTAACTGAAGGATACCGAATGGGCTTTAATGCTGTGTGCATGATTATTGCATGTCCGTGCCCGGTGTGCCTTGTGTGCACTAGTTTGCTATCCTGGGTGTTTATTTCTAAACAACTGAGACACCATGCTGCAGTTAAACAGGTCTGGTAAATATATTGTAAGGAGTTAACATGGTTATGCATCATAATCTTGCTATATCATATCATATGATTACACAAGTAGAAGTCACAGTGGCTGCGCGGGTTAGGCGGCTGACTTTGTGTGCTGGCGATTGGGTGCCTGACTGAGGGTGTGGGTTCGAATTCTGGATGGGACTCAACCTAACAAAAGTACTAGAATCTGTACTTTACTAAGAAAGTGCTATCCCAAATATAACATATGGTAAGTTATATCATATCATGCATGTAAAAGTACAAACCAGTGGCTGATAGGATAAGAACTGTAAGTTCACATGAGATGCTGTGGGCCTTGGCTAATCCAAAAATGTGATGGGCAAAGCATGAAACGCTTCTTAACTAGTTTGCTTCTGTATTACTGTAGGACAACATGGAATGCTAGTACCTATTCTGCCCTGGAAGCACTTCAGGACATGGAATGCTGGTACCTATTCTGCCCTGGAAGCACTTCAGGACATGGAATGCTGGTACCTATTCTGCCCTGGAAGTGCTTCAGGACATGGAATGCTGGTACCTATTCTGCCCTGGAAGCACTTCAGGACATGGAATGCTGGTACCTATTCTGCCCTGGAAGTGCTTCAGGACATGGAATGCTGGTACCTATTCTGCCTTGGAAGCGCTTCAGGACATGGAATGCTGGTACCTATTCTGCCTTGGAAGCACTTCAGACATGGAATGCTGGTACCTATTCTGCCCTGGAAGCACTTCAGGACATGGAATGCTGGTACCTATTCTGCCTTGGAAGCACTTCAGGACATGGAATGCTGGTACCTATTCTGCCCTGGACATGGAATGCTGGTACCTATTCAGTGCTTCAGGACATGGAATGCTGGTACCTATTCTGCCCTGGAAGCACTTCAGGACATGGAATGCTGGTACCTATTCTGCCCTGGAAGCACTTCAGGACATGGAATGCTGGTACCTATTCTGCCCTGGAAGCACTTCAGGACATGGAATGCTGGTACCTATTCTGCCCTGGAAGCACTTCAGGACAGGAATGCTTCCTGCCCTGGAAGCACTTCAGGACATGGAATGCTGGTACCTATTCTGCCCTGGAAGCACTTCAGGACATGGAATGCTGGTACCTATTCTGCCCTGGAAGCACTTCAGGACATGGAATGCTGGTACCTATTCTGCCCTGGAAGCACTTCAGGACATGGAATGCTGGTACCTATTCTGCCCTGGAAGCACTTCAGGACATGGAATGCTGGTACCTATTCTGCCCTGGAAGCACTTCAGGACATGGAATGCTGGTACCTATTCTGCCCTGGAAGCGCCCATGGAATGCTGGTACTTCAGGACATGGAATGCTGGTACCTATTCTACCCTGGAAGCACTTCAGGACATGGAATGCTGGTACCTATTCTGCCCTGGAAGCAGGACATGGAATTCAGGACATGGAATGCTGGTACCTATTCTGCCCTGGAAGCACTTCAGGACATGGAATGCTGGTATTCTATTCTGGAAGCCCTGGAATGCTGGTACTCTATTCTGCCCTGGACATGGAATGCTGGTACCTATTCTGCCCTGGAAGCGCTTCAGGACATGGAATGCTGGTACCTATTCTGCCCTGGAAGTGCTTCAGGACATGGAATGCTGGTACCTATTCTGCCCTTGAATTGCCACTGTGTCACTATGTTTTCTCCTATTAATCCATGTTGGTATCCTCACATAACATTCTTTGAAACAATGATGAATACTGAGGACTGTTCCAAATGTCACCCTCTGACAAAGCAACCACGTGTCGAGAGAGCTCACCTGGAACTTGTTGGAGTAGGTAGAATTCTTCATATCACCATCAAGGGCCACAACTCTGTTGTTGTTCTTCCCTATCTTCAGCAAAGCATTGCCATAAGCAACACGAGTAGCAATCTGAAAGTTGAAAGACATCGGTTAGTTTCTGATCAGATTCTGAATAACAACATGCAGTCTTGTTGGGCTAGAAACAATAGTTTTAATTAGTTTCGTTTTACGCCACTTTTAGCAATAATCCAGCAATATCACAATTTCACCAGAAATGGGCTTCACACAATGTACCCATGTGGCGAGTTGAATCCCGGTCTTCAGCATAACGAGGAAATACCTTAACCACTAGACTATCCCCCGCCCCTCACTGAGCAATAACACAATATATATTTACATCATATATACATGCCACAATTTTTACTGTTAATTGTATATTTATTATAATATGATAATATGACAAAAGATAACATGGACATTCAAATATCTTCTGCACAAACAATAAAGTAGGAAGACTAAAATCTCATGTGTTTGTATTTATTCTTTTATTGCGATGTTTTCAACAAGCTTGAGTGAGTGAGCGAATGAGTTGGATTTTACACAGCTTTAACTCTTTCAACACCAGTCAACCAGAGGCATTTACTGCCATGACACTGAGTTCCCAGAGACTCTGAGGTCATAGATGAAGCCTATGTTTATGAAGGAAATTATAAGCTTGTAAAACGTTATTGCTACTACATCCCATACACCATTTAAAAGATCTAATCCTACTGTTGATAAATATGAAGTTTATTTTTATAATATTATTCAAATAATACAACTACAACTTAAATAAATTTATATTTGAATGAAAATGCAAGCTTACATTTATAACGTCCAGATAAACCACCTAAAGAAGCAAAACTATGGCGATTTTTTTCCATTTGTGACATCCCATAACATGCCCATGCCTTTTTCTTTATATTTTCATTTTTAAGTAATCAGAAAATTATTATAAAAAGATTTTTAAACAATATGTATGGTCAGCCTATTTCCGATATCTGTGGCTTTCCGCTTCGGTAAAATGACATAACAACTGAAAATACCTCCGTTTTCGAAGCTTCATTATGAATAACATGCGCTGACAAATCGTTTGATGTCGGGCATCGCTCGAAAAGCTCTGAACATCAACAATATCACTGTACCCTTGTCAAGAGTATTTTCACAGTTGTAGAAGCGATTTTATTGGATAAAGATTGGTTTCCAATGGCGCTTTTCGCCACAGTCTGCTATAAAGGGTCGTGATTGGTCAAAATCAGACACATGACCTAAGGTAGCCAATCATATTACGGCAATGGATACCATCCTCGTAAAACGAAAACTTTAGATTTGGACAAAAGTTTTGGGTGAAATAATGCTATTCTGAACATATTAAGCAAGAAATCGCTACCTATAATCGTAAATTATGGAACTTATTGGATCGTGATCGTGCTAGGTTATGACCTGTGACAAAAATGCTTCATGTATGTATTTTCGCATTAAACATCGCGGTCCGTGAAGTGAAGATTGAGGCGGCGAGGCGAGATGTCACTTGTCAGTGACTTGACTTGCATTACATGATCGCACAAAAAGATGGAAATAGTAATTTTATATATGCGTTTGACAACTTTTATGAATGCTGTTGTTGATTTTATTCATTAGTTTATTCAATTTATTTAATAATTTCCTCGAAACATCGTTACTTTGCTCTTTGACAATGTTATTGTGGGTCGCTGCCGAAGCATGTGTCCGAGAATCGTTGTTTTCAATAACATTGCGAAAAATAGTTTATGATTTTAATTCTGCTGGTAATATATGATAAATTGAAATTTAATAAGTGTTTTCAGACATTGTGAAATGTGATAGATTTGATATATGAATCAAAAGTCAGGTAGGTTCCTAAAATTATGTCTCATTTTGACGTGACTACTGCCTGGCCCGATTATTCGGCCTGCGGTGTTGAATGGGTTAAACAATATTCCAGCAATATCGCAGAGGGGGACACCAGATAAGGGCTTCACACATTGTACCTATGTAGGAAATTGAAACCAGACCCCGATTTCTCAAAACGAATTTAAGTTCTTACTCAAATTTCAAACTGAGTTTGACAATTTGAAACAGCTGAATTTTGAACTCAGCTGCATTTTTTAAATAAAAAAGCCCACAATACTTAAGTATTCTATTCACCAAACTCAAGTTGTCTACTATGTTTGAGCTTAATATCGATTTCCGTTCATTCTTGGAAATGCATTTTCTCAAATTGAGTAAACATTTGAACTTAAGTCAAAACTCAGACTTAAGTTTGTTTCGAGAAATCGGGGCAAGGTTTTCGGTGCGATGAGCGAACAGTTTAACCACTGGGCTACCCCACCTCCCCTAACAAGTTAATAGTAACATAACTACCCACAAAATGTTTAGTTGACAAAGTAATCAGGGCATGACATAGGGATGACATCAGTTCAGAAAATAGATTTAAAATGTTTCATTTCAACCGATTTTATTTGACATAATTTAAGAGGGTCTTTTTAGATCTACATAAACTGATTTAGTTTTCAGTTTGTTTTGTTTGTTTAACGCTGTTGTTGCACTCTGCAATATTCCAGCTATATGGCATCTGTCTGGACCAGACAATCCAGTGATCAACATCACAAGCATCAATCTATTTTTATCTCAACTGGAATACGATGACATGTGTCAACCAAGTCAGCGTGCCTGACCACCCGATCCCGTAAGTAGTCTTGCTTTCAAAATAAGAAACAAGAAGAAGACAAAGTCATCAATATCCCCCCCAATGGCAAAATACTCTTCATGATTATGTCTACGAGTTATGATTATGTCAAATATTTAGGTGTGTATATAGAAATATTTAGGTGTGTATATAGAAAAGTGGAAGGAGAGTATTGAAAGGTTTTTAAAGTTCTGCTCCAGAAAGCAGCACTATCACCAATTTCAGTCAAACTTGTTGCCATGGAAATGCCACAAATATTTTATTCAGAATTCCAAAACTACCAAAAGGCACCAGTACACCACTAGACCAATCTAAGTGCCAAGTTTGGTGAAGAAACATTGAACGGTTTTAGAGTTCTGCTCCAGAAAAGAGCACTACTACTGACTGACTGAGTTTAGTTTTACGCCGCTTTTAGCAATATTCCAGCAATATCACGGCGGGGGACACCAGAAATGGGCTTAACACATTGTGCCCATGTGGGGATTGAACCGGGTCTTCGGTAGTGACGCCAGTGACTTTAACCACTAGGCTACCCACATCCCTCAGCACTACTACAATTTCAGTCTAAGTCAAACTTGTTGCCATGGAAACGCCAAAAATATTTTATTCAGAATTCCAAAACTACCAAAAGGCACCAGTACACCACCAGATCTATCTATGTGCCAAGTTTGGTGAAGAAGAAATAGCGAACAGTTTTAGAGTTCTGCTCGGGAAAAGACACTACCACAATTTCAGGCTAAGTCAAACTTGTTGCCATGGAAACGTCAAAAATATTTTATTCAGAATTCCAAAACTACCAAAAGGCACCAGTACACCACCAGATCCATGTATGTGCCAAGTTTGGTGAAAGAAATATGAAGCGGTTTTAGAGTTCTGCTCGGGAAAAGACAAAACGACTGCAGTTGAGACGGACGACGGATGGGCCTTATGAACGGAGTCCATTTTAATACCCCACTAAAAGCGTGTTTGGAGGCGATAAAAAGGTTGGGTCTACCATGCCAATTAAAATCTCACCGTATTGCTTATACACCAATACACAAATGGTAACAATGTCGTTCAGCTGATCCTGCTCAACATACCTGTTCATCCTTCTTGTAGCTGGGTGGTTCCCCCAGTCTCACGTTGGTGATGTCCACATCCGGGACCTTCATGGTGGGCACTGCAGGCTTCAGGCCAAAAGGGCCGTTGTTTGACATGATGGCCTTGATGGCTGCGATGCACTCTTCTCCCTTTGCACCCAGGGCTTTACCATGCCAGTTCTCCATGTCCTCAATACCTACAACACATCAGGACTTCTTGACGTCATGATTCATACATCATAGAATCAGGATACAAGCTCCCCCTACATTGATACAGGTGCACATCTCATCTATGAAGGTGTTGGCGATGACACGAATTCACACCTCACCTGTACAGACGCTTTGATGATACAGGTACACAACTCACCTGGACAATCCTTCCCCTTGAAGGTGTTGACGATGATACAGGTATATAACTCACCTGGACAACCCTCTCCCCTTGAAGGTCTTAGTGATGATACAGGTATACAATTCACCTGGACAACCCTTCCCCTTTAAGGTCTTATCAATGAAACAGGTATACAACTCACCTGGACAATCCTTCCCCAATAAGGTCTTATTGCTGACACAGGTATACAACTCACCTGGACAACCCTTTCCTTTGTAGGTCTTAGCGATGATACAGGTGGGTTTGCCTTTGTCTCTACCAGCATTGAAGAACACTTTGCATAGAGCCTCTATATCATGGCCGTCTACAACGGTTGTGTTCCACCTGACAAGACAAAATATTGGATATCAGATTTTTCTCGCAGGATCACAGGCTCTGCACTCGCAAATATTTATAGTTGACTCTTATGAAGCAGCGATGTCAACATTGGGTGCTTGAAACCTAATTGGGTCTACAATCCCAACAGAAAGACAAGCATGGAGGCCTGAAACCTACTCGATCATGGGGTGACACTTCTCAGGATCACAATACTTCTATCATAAAAGTGATCCCAACTCGGTAACAATTCATGCAGCACAGTGCTATCTACCAACCCAAAAGCTTCCAGGCGCCTCTTGTATACATCTGTTTCATGTCCAAGACTGGTTGGCTGACTCTGGCCCAGACGGTTGATGTCGAAGATGCAGACAAGGTTGTCGAGCTTGTAGTGGCTGGCGAAGGCAATAGCCTCCCAGATAGAACCCTCAGCACTTTCCCCATCACCTATAAGGCAATATGTCCGGTAGCTGCAACAGAGCCAGTACCTGTGAACATCTTTAGGAAATGGGCTATTATGCATCTACAAAATCCATGATGCATCTATATAATCCACCACATACGCAATTGGGATACGATGACATGTGTCAACCCAGTTAGCATGCCTGACCACCCGATCCCATTAGTCACCTCTTACGACAAGCATGGGTTACTGAAGATCAATTCTAACCCGGACCTTCACAGGTGAGGTGAGGTGAAATTGGGTTTAAAGCCGTGCATGAGAATATTTTGCTCACATGACGACATGCATGAGTGTGTATGTGTATGTGCGGCTGCTTGTACTAGCCCAGACAAGCTGGTTTTATAGTGCTAGCCCACTGAGATACCATGCCGCAGTTAAGCATGAATACCCCACTCAGAGACATTATACTGACTCCGAGCCGACCAGTCCTTGTTGTACCCATTAATGCTGAACGCCAGACAGGGACCAACAAGTACCATATTTTAACGTCTTTTGGTATGACTCGGTCGGGGATGGAACCCGCGACCTTCCGCTCTCCGGGTGGACGCTCTAACCACTACACCGCGGAGGCGGTCAGGACCTTCACAGGTCAGTTAGTATTTGTAAGTGCATCATGGTGAATTATAGGTTTAAACAACAAACATACCGGTAGGTATATCATGGTATATTATATAAATACTTGATTGATGTTCCTGCTGTAGATCCCTGGATTGTCTGGTCCAGACTCGATTATCGACAGACCGCCAAGCTGGATTATTGCCGAGTGCGGCGTAAAACTAAACTCACTCACTTTTATATACTAACTGTATATAATTAAATATGGATCAATAGTCAATCCAATGATTATGTGTCAACCAAGCCTTATCACCCGATCCGAGCACGAATTGCTGAATTCTAACCCGGCTCTTCCCTGGTATGTACGTTTGTAATCCGTAATGATGCAACCACACATGATGCACATATGCATGTACATAGTCAACCATATTTCTAGATCCACCATGATGCATGTACGTAAACCAACATGATGCATGCACATAATTCACCATGAAGCACATACGTAGTCCACCAAGATCTATCTTCACAATATGAAAATCATTTTTGTTCATCACGGAGACATATATCCCTGTCTCTGACTGACAATACACTGACTTCAGCCACTGCTACAGTAAGGCAAAGCAAAACAATAAAAACATAACAAGAAGACAAAGTCATCAATATCCCCCGCAATGGCAAAATACTCTTCCTGATTATGTCTACGAGTTATGATTATGTCAAATATTTAGGTGTATATAGAAAAGTGGAAGGAGAGTATTGAAAGGTTTTTATAGTTCTGCTCCAGAAAGGAGCACTATCACCAATTTCAGTCTAAATCAAACTAGTTGCCATGGAAATGCCAAAATATTTTATTCAGAATTCCAAAACTACCAAAAGTGACCAGTACACCACCAGATCAATCTATGTGCCAAGTTTGGTGAAGAAAAATTGAACGGTTTTAGAGTTCTGCTCGGGAAAAGAGCACAACCACCAATTTCAGTCTAAGTCAAACTTGTTGCCATGGAAATGCCAAAATATTTTATTCAGAATTCCAAAACTACCAAAAGGCACCAGTACACCACCAGATCTATCTATGTGCCAAGTTTGGTGAAGAAAAATTGAACGGTTTTAGAGTTCTGCTCCGGAAAAGAGCACAACCACCAATTTCAGTCTAAGTCAAACTTGTTGCCATGGAAATGCCAAAATATTTTATTCAGAAATCCAAAACTACCAAAAGTCACCAGTACACCACCAGATCAATCTATGTGCCAAGTTTGGTGAAGAAATATTGAACGGTTTTAGAGTTCTGCTCCGGAAAAGACAAATGTGCACGGATGGAAGGACGGACGGACGCACATAGTCCATTTTAATACCCCCCGCAAAACGCGTTACGGGGGATAAAAATAACTGAGATAGTATACAAAAGACCGGATGTGCACATTGGAAAATATTATCATTAGTTTGTCATGATGACAGTCCTCCATGAAAGTATTCGACTGAAATTGAACACAATATTATTCATTCTACCCTCGGAGTAAGAAACTTAACAATTAATCCCCCACAAATGATAACATGAAAACAGACCAAAACGGTAACCATGGTATTGATACTTACAACTTGCTGAAAAACATTAAAAAAGGAGAAGTCAGTTGTTTGCCAAATTACGAACATTGTTTGACAAACACATCCAGGTGAAACATGCTTAAGGCATGAAAGATAGTTAATAGCATATTAGCAATGGGCATGGTGAAGTGAGGTGTGGTTAAGTTAGGTGAGATGAGTTAAGGTGAGATATGGTTAGGAGATAAGATGACTCAAATGGGGTTAGGTGAGGTATGTTGAGTTAAGGTGAGTTAATGTGAGTTAATGTGAGGTATAATGAGTTAATGTGAGGTATGGTGAGTTAATGTGAGTTATGGTGAGTTAAGGTGGGGTATGGCGAGTTAAGGTGGGGTATGGCGAGTTAAGGTGAAGTATGGTGAGTTAAGGTGAGGTATGGTTAGATGGTGAGGTGAGATAAGAGGATGTGAAAGAGGTTAGGTGAGGTATGGTTAGGATATGGTGAGGTGATTTGAGGTTTATGGTAAGGTGAGGTATGGTTAGGAGAGGTGAAGTGAGGCAAAATGTCATTGATTGTTGCTTAAGACATTTCCACTTATACAGTGATGATCACCAGTCTGAGTAACAAGAAGTTTTTTTCCGTATGAAACACATGGATCGAACCAAAGGCAATGCAGACACCATCTACATGGCAAATGACATGGTCGTCTTTGATGACAATCAAAGGGGCATACAAAGGGGCATACAGAGCTTCAAACAGAACTTCACTTCAACAAAGCATGTTAGAAACTGAGCCAAAACCGTGTGAATATAAACAAATGTTTTATGCCACAGTCAACTAATTTAGCACCACGCCAACAAGGATAGGACCAAAACATGACAAGGCAAACTGTGAATTAAAGCCATGTCATTTCAAGTGTTGGTTAAGAAGTTAACATGAAGCTGAATTACTTACTCCGCTTTATCAAAATGTTTGGCCGTGTACGCCATGCCTGCTGCGACGCTCAGTCCTTGACCTAGTGACCCTGTTGCAACATCAATGAAGTTCAGTCTCTGCAAGACAAAACATACACCATAAGAGGGAGCCAATGTTGTTTAAGTTCAGTCTCTGCAAGACAAAACATACACCATAAGAGGGAGCCAATGTTGTTTAAGTTCAGTCTCTGCAAGACAAAACATACACCATAAGAGGGAGTCAATGTTGTTTAAGTTCAGTCTCTGCAAGACAAAACATACACCATAAGAGGGAGTCAATGTTGTTTAAGTTCAGTCTCTGCAAGACAAAACATACACCATAAGAGGGAGTCAATGTTGTTTAAGTTCAGTCTCTGCAAGACAAAACATACACCATAAGAGGGAGTCAATGTTGTTTAAGTTCAGTCTCTGCAAGACAAAACACATACACCATAAGAGGGAGTCAATGTTGTTTTAAGTTCAGTCTCTGCAAGACAAAACATACACCATAAGAGGGAGTCAATGTTGTTTTAAGTTCAGTCTCTGCAAGACAAAACATACACCATAAGAGGGAGCCAATGTTGTTTTAAGTTCAGTCTCTGCAAGACAAAACATACACCATAAGAGGGAGTCAATGTTGTTTAAGTTCAGTCTCTGCAAGACAAAACATACACCATAAGAGGGAGTCAATGTTGTTTAAGTTCAGTCTCTGCAAGACAAAACATACACCATAAGAGGGAGTCAATGTTGTTTAAGTTCAGTCTCTGCAAGACAAAACATACACCATAAGAGGGAGTCAATGTTGTTTAAGTTCAGTCTCTGCAAGACAAAACATACACCATAAGAGGGAGTCAATGTTGTTTAAGTTCAGTCTCTGCAAGACAAAACATACACCATAAGAGGGAGCCAATGTTGTTTAAAGTTCAGTCTCTGCAAGACAAAACATACACCATAAGAGGGAGCCAATGTTGTTTAAGTTCAGTCTCTGCAAGACAAAACATACACCATAAGAGGGAGTCAATGTTGTTTAAGTTCAGTCTCTGTAAGACAAAACATACACACCATAAGAGGGAGTCAATGTTGTTTAAGTTCAGTCTCTGCAAGACAAAACATACACCATAAGAGGGAGTCAATGTTGTTTAAGTTCAGTCTCTGCAAGACAAAACATACACCATAAGAGAGTCAGTCAATGTTGTTTAAGTTCAATGTCTCTGTAAAACAAAACATACACCATAAGAGGGTTGTTTAGTCAATGTTGTTTAAGTTCAGTCTCTGCAAGACAAAACATACACCATAAGAGGGAGTCAATGTTGTTTAAGTTCAGTCTCTGCAAGACAAAACATACACCATAAGAGGGAGTCAATGTTGTTTAAGTTCAGTCTCTGCAAGACAAAACATACACCATAAGAGGGAGTCAATGTTGTTTAAGAAGCATCAACAATATGCAAACCATATCGCTCATGATATATCTCCACAATGTGCGAGTGAGTGAGTATGGATTCACACCGTTTTTAGCAATATTCCAGCAATATCATGGCAGGGTAGACCAGAAGTTGACTCCACACATTGTACCCATGTGGGGAATCGAACTCGGGTCTTTGGTGTGACCAGCGAACGCTTTAACCACTAGGCTACCCATGGAGCACTGGTAAAGGCTTCACCTATGGCAACTATGTGGGGAATCAAACCTAGAGTGTGATGAAGAAATACTACAATCACTAGTCTAGTCACTTAGGTGACACACAGTTAGGGACCGTTCATAATTTATGGCTAGAGGGGTGATGATTTTATGGTGGGGGTCACCCATTTTGTTCTCGGAAGATAGGAGGGGGTTCAATCAATTTTGTACACACTTTTAGGGGCGGGGCAGGGGGTTTGTCTAACCATTTTGTACATTAAAAATATATGCACAGGGGGCACAGGGAGTTCCATGTGAAGGTATTGCACAAAACACAGGTGACACAGGGAGGTCCATGGGAAGGTATTGCACAAAACACAGGTGACACAGGGAGTTCCATGTGAAGGTATTGCACAAAACACAGGTGACACACGGAGTTTCATGTGAAGGTATTGCACAAAACACAGGTGACAAAACACAGGTGAGCTCCATGTGAAGGTATTGCACAAAAAACACAGGTGACACAGGGAGTTCCATGTGAAGAAGTATTGCACAAAACACAGGGAGTTCCATGTGAAGGTATTGCACAAAACACAGGGGCACAAAACACAGGTGACACAGGGAGTTTCATGTGAAGGTATTGCACAAAACACAGGGAGTTCCATGTGAAGGTATTGCACAAAACACAGGTGACACAGGGAGTTCCATGTGAAGGTATTGCACAAAACACAGGGAGCTCCATGTGAAGGTATTGCACAAAACACAGAAGGTATTGCACAAAACACAGGAGTTCAGGGGAGTTTCATGTGAAGGTATTGCACAAAACACAGGCAGCTCCAGTGACACAGGGAGTTTCATGTGAAGGTATTGCACAAAACACAGGTGACATACCGGAGTTGGATGTCCTTCCAGATCAGAGGAGAGTTTGCGCAGGTTCATGAGATCGGACTCGGGGAACAAACCTGCCTCAGCCCAGGCAGCATACAGTATGGGAGCAGCATGGCCCTGAAACAGAAGAACACACATGTCATCCAAGAATGTTATTGCACAGGCCCAAAGAATATTGTAGATTGCAATTAATAAATTTCTCCTACAAGAAACAAAGCTGTGTGCCCAGTTTTAAGATGATGGCAACATGTATTGCTGGACAAGTACAACCTTCTTTCATGAAAGTGAATATGGCTGTTTGTCACTTTTAGGAACATTCCAATATCATATCTGGGGACACGTGAAATGGGCTCCACACATTGTACCCATGTGGAGAATCAAAACCGAGACATTCATGTGACAATTTTTGAGTGCATGCATTTGAGTTTTATGTAATGTATGTGGTGGCAAGTGGTCTTGCACACAGAGCTCAGGTCACAATTCAGTTGAAGTTAAGCAATGTTAGGCGGTGTGGAGAATCCTTGGATGGGTGACCGTGTTTGGCAGCTTGACTCCTGAGAGTTTCTATGACTTCAGTCCTGCTCCACAAGAAAGCATAAGTGATACATGTGGTCTCACATTAGGCAAGTGAGTTCAAAACTGCCTCTGTTCACCCAGCAGAAAATAGGTACCCGGTGGGATAAAGTCAAGTGACCATAACTCTCCAGCATCTAACAGGCAGCTTGGGTTATCAAGGGTAATAGTAATCAGATTGTTTGGGCGCTTCGAGCAAGCATTGTGCATGACAATGGACCATTATTGTTATTACTACCATGATGGTGCATCGCCAGAGAGGAAAGCTGAAACTGTCCATGTAGGCATTGTTTATTAAGTGCAAACAAAAATCTTAAGGCTACCCAACATCCTGAAAAATCTGAAGAAATATGAAAAATTGAGGAAAAGGTAATGCTATTTTGGTCATGCTCCTTTGGTCATAGTCACTCTAATATGCATTCCGTACCTTGGAGAGGACGAACCTGTCCGCTGAGGCACTCCGCGGCTCTGCAGTGCTGTAGCGCATGGTGTCGAAGAACAACACAGACATGATATCGGCCATGGAGCAGCATGATGTTGGGTGACTGAAGCAATAAAATTACACACAGTTACAGACAGTTACAGACATGTAGCGTTCAATTGGGAGGACGGCATTGCTTCTTCACTGCCTCTTTTTCCATTACGGAGCTAGCATTATCAGCTGATGCGGCATTTGTGAAACATGATTTTAAAGACAAGCGAATGTCACACAAAGACAAGCGAATGTCATACAAAGACAAGCAAATGCCACACATAGACAAGCGAATGTCATACAAAGACAAGCAAATGTCATACATAGACAAGCGAATGTCATACAAAGACAAGCAAATGCCACACATAGACAAACGAATGTCATACATAGACAAGCGAATGCCACACATAGACAAGCAAATGTCATACAAAGACAAGCGAATGCCACACATAGTCAAGCGAATGTCATACATAGACAAGTGAATGTCGTAAAACGACAAGCAAATGTCGTACAAAAAAGAGAGAATGTCACACATAGACAAGCAAATGTAAAATGACAAGCAAATGTCATACAAGGACAGGCAAATGTCACACAAAGACAAGAGAATGTCACACATAGACAAGCCAATGTCGTACAGAGACAAGCAAATGTCATACACTGACTGGCTGAATATGGTTTTACGCCGCTTTTAGCAATATTCCAGCAATATCACGGCAGGGGACACCAGAAATGGGCTTCACACATTTTACCCATGTGGGGAATCAAACCAGGGTCTTCGGCGTGACGAGCGTACGCTTTAACTTCATAACTACCCCATTTTATCCTGGGAGAACGACTTTCAAACATCATTTTAGAAGTAAGATGAACAAGGGAGATAATTCTTTCTAACAAAGAAGTAACCATCTGGTTTAACCGTATCTATGTAGACGATTATGCACAGTCTGGGCATGTTGTCTTCCCTAATACCTATATATTATGGAACACTATTAGCAAATTAAGGGCAATAGGCTTCTTTTAATACATTTCTCATGCAGTGTTTTAAATGTAAACAGGTGCTGTATGTCTGAAATATAATTGAAATCTGAAATTTTTAAACTGACCCCACGTTAGTGAAAATTGATTTCTCATGCAGTGTTTTAAACATTGATTCGCTAAATGTATAACAGGTGCTGTATGTCTGAAATATAATTGAAATCTGAAATTTTTAAACTGACCTCACATGTTAGTGAAAATTGATTCTTTATGTGATCAAACATCAGCCAACAAAGTCAGCGAGCCTGACACCCAATCCCTTTGCTCAAGTCTTACATCAAGCACATTCTAACCTTGATCTTCATGGGTCTAGTTAATATGATAGCGATAGAGACCAGACCGAGATTCTTTATGACTGATCGAGACCTGGGTCTTCAAAGTAATGAGTGGATGCTTTAACCATTTTGCTATATTCCAGCAATGTCATGCATGGGTTACTGAGGTTAACCACCCTATAGGAAGCATGGGTTACACACATTGTACCAAGACCCTATAGGACATGCATGGGTTACTGAACCTGGGTCTTATAGGACATGTGGATGCTTTAACCATTGGGCTAAACCACCGACCCTATAGGACATGCATGGGTTACTGAAACAAGCATGGGCTACACTACCGACCCTATAGGACATGCATGGGTTACTGAGACAAGCATGGGCTACACCCCTGACCTCTATAGGGACATGCATGGGTTACTGAAACAATCCTATAGGACATGCATGGGTTACTGAGACAAGCATGGGCTACACCACCGACCCTATAGGACATGCATGGGTTACTGAGACAAGCATGGGCTACACCACCGACCCTATAGGACATGCATGGGTTACTGAGACAAGCATGGGCTACACCACCGACCCTATAGGACATGCATGGGTTACTGAGACAAGCAAGCATGGGCATTACACCACACGACCCTATAGGACATGGGTTATGAGACAAGCATTACACCGACTGAGACAAGCATGGGCTACACCACATGGGCAGGCATGGGCTACACTACCGACCCTATAGGACATGCATGGGTTACTGAGACAAGCATGGGCTACACCACCGACCCTATAGGACATGCATGGGTTACTGAGACAAGCATGGGCTACACCACCGACCCTATAGGACATGCATGGGTTACATGCATGAGACACACTACACGACCCTATAGGACATGCATGGGCTGACACCTACACGACCCTATAGGACATGCATGGGTTACTGACAAGACATCGGGCTACACCACCCGACCCTATAGGACATGCATGGGTTACTGAGACAAGCATGGGCTACACCACCGACCCTATAGGACATGCATGGGTTACTGAGACAAGCATGGGCTACACAACCGACCCTATAGGACATGCATGGGTTACTGAGACAAGCATGGGCTACACCACCGACCCTATAGGACATGCATGGGTTACTGAGACAAGCATGGGCTACAAAACTGGCCTGATAGGAGACGGGGCAGCAGGGTAGCCTAGTGGTAACAGTGTTCAATCGTCACACAGACGACCTGGGTTTGATTCCACACATGGGTACAATGTGTGAAGCCCATTTCTGGTGGCGCCAGCTGTGATACTGCTGAAATATTGCTAGTATAAGCGGCGTAAAACAAAAGTCACTCACTCTCTCACTATGGGAGACAGAACAATGAATACAGCATTTCAATCTAGTAACACATGAACCTCGGCTGACATCAGTGAGGGAAGACAAAATAACCTGACCAGTGCATGTACAGATAGGCAACCTAATTCCGGCTGATCTGTGACAGGCAGGCCAGTGTTGCTACATCAACCTTGCTGAGTGTGGCTCAAGTGACCTTGCTAAGTGATAGGCCTATCTACATGACAGCTGGGTCAGTAGGACGGTATCGGCAACAGCATGTCACCCAGCACTGTAGAGCAATATCGAGACAAACTGACTGACCAGTGTCCAATATGAAGGCTTAGTATATACGATGTGCAGCATATTAAGTACAGAAACAGGCTGACCAATGTCCACGAGGGAGGAGTGGTATAACATGTATATGCTACATTGGGGAATATTAAGTACGGAAACAGGCTGACCAATGTCCACGAGGGAGGCCTGGTATAACATGTATATGCTACATTGGGGAATATTAAGTACGGAAACAGGCTGACCAATGTCCACGAGGGAGGCCTGGTATAACATGTATATGCTACATTGGGGAATATTAAGTACGGAAACAGACTGACCAATGACCACGAGGGAGGAGTGGTATAACATGTATATGCTACATGCTACATTGGGAAATATTACGAGGGAGGCCTGAAACAGGCTGACCAATGTCCACGAGGGAGGCCTGGTATAGCATGTATATGCTACATTGGGGAATACTAAGAACGGAAACAGGCTGACCAATGTCCACGAGGGAGGCCTGGTATAGCATGTATATGCTACATTGGGGAATATTAAGTACGGAAACAGACTGACCAATGACCACGAGGGAGGAGTGGTATAACATGTATATGCTACATTGGGGAATATTAAGTACAGAAACAGACTGACCAATGTCCACGAGGGAGGCCTGGTATAGCATGTATATGCTACATTGGGGAATATTAAGTACGACCCCCGAAACAGGCTGACCAATGACCACGAGGGAGGAGTGGTATAACATGTATATGCTACATTGGGGAATATCATGTATGGAAACAGACTGACCAATGTCCACGAGGGAGGCCTGGTATAGCATGTATATGCTACATTGGGGAATATTAAGTACGGAAACAGACTGACCAATGACCACGAGGGAGGAGTGGTATAACATGTATATGCTACATTGGGGAATATCATGTATGGAAACAGACTGACCAATGTCCACGAGGGAGGCCTGGTATAACATGTATATGCTACATTGTGCGAAGGACTATCTTGACATAGGCGTCCTGACCATGTAATATGTACACATGGATACAGCTGGATCTAACATCTCTCAAGCTCTCCTATAGCAGTATTTAACATTGTAAAGGGCAAACACTGATTCCAATACACTTTTGAACTTGATGTCAACTTCCATGATAATTATGGGTTAATGAAAGTATAGTGAGTGAGTGAGTTTAGTTTTACACCATTTTAGCAATATTCCAGCAATATCATGACGGGGTACACCAGAAATTGGCTTCACACTTTGTACCCCTGTGGGGAATGGAACCCGGTCTTTGGTCAATTAGACTAGCTTAACGCTTTCAGTTGCAAAGTGTTGTTAATTGACAGTGTCAACCAAGTCAGCTATATGGCGGTGGTCTGTAAATAATCGCCTGACCACCCGATCCAGCATAGTCGCCTCTTACGACAAGCATGGGGTATTGAAAGTTCATTCTAACCTGGACCTTTACGTGTATTATATTTTCTTGAATGTATCAGACCTAAAATATAACTGAGGAATAAGTGCGCACTGGGTTGGAGTGGAAAGGTATTATTTGTGACACAACTTATGACAGATTGAGAAGAAATAAGACTGACTGACTGACTGAGTGAGTTTGGTTTTACGCCACTTTAAGCAATATTCCAGCAACGTCACGGCAGGGGACACCAGAAATGGGCTTCACACATTGTATCCATGTGGGGATTCAACCCGGTCTTCGCTGACGAACAACACTTTAACCACTAGGCTACCCCACCGCCCCGAGAAGAAATAAGAAGATATAAGATCTAAATTATCCATAGAATTATATCAACAAATTCTATTTTTAATTAAAATCAAGTTAGTTGAAACTAATTCAAGCACTTTTGGTTAGTATGAAGTTGACATAATTACACATTCTGGCAATCACTTTCTAATGTTAGGTGTCCACTCACAAAACTCGTAATTTCACCCGAAGGTTATTTTGCCTGGTTTTACCTCACCACCTGTGGCTTCTGGCTTAATTCTATTATTTAAGATCGACAGTTTTGAAAAGTAATGAAAAGTTTAATCACTTATTAACATTTTATTAACAATAGGTATACCATTGAAATAAACATCTCTAAGAGAGAGAGAGTGTGCATCCCAAAATATTACCTCATAAAACTACATATCTC